CTGGTTAGAAGGGCTGGGAGGAATTGTGCAGCTGGGGGGCTCCTGGGCTGTGCTTTGGAGCAGTGGCTGCTGTAGTGACCGGGATGGGTCCAGCACACCCACACATGAGCCCCCTTATGGCACTGCAGCTATGAAGGCTCTGGTTGTAGAGTCTGGTACCAGCTCCCAGTCGCTCTTCTCATTCTGCAGGAACCTAAAGATTGGTTATTTCAGCCAGCACCATGTGGATCAACTAGACTTGAATATCAGTGCTGTAGAGTTACTGGCAAGAAAGTTCCCAGGTGAGTTTTTGTTGATCACAGAGGTCTCTCTTGCTGTGCATGGAGGAACCCATTAGTCCATGCTCCTGGGCAGCAGGCTCTGTCCCATCAGTGCTTAAGGGTCACTGCCAACACTGGGATAACTCCCCTCGTCCAGCCAAGTTCAGGTCATCAGCCATGAGAAGCAGGGGTAGCTGGTAGCCTGCAGATCTCAGGCTGGTGCCAACTTTTGGGGCAGATGAGCACTGGATCCCCCTTTCCTAGTTGAAAAACCTCTGGTTCCTTTCTGGTTCCTTTCTCCATTACTTGACACAGTGACAAGGACTTGGGAGTAGCATCACTTGTTGTCAGTCACCAGCCCTGCAGCCCGTCCTGATTGTGTCAGTCAGAATTTCCCTGCAAACCCCCTGCATGGGAGGGAATTGCCTGGACGTGCTGCTGATCTCCCATTTGCTGGTCTGGCAGAGGCTGTCCAGCTGTGACCCTGTGTCACACCAGGTGTGCCATAGGTGTGTTGTGACATGATCCTGCAGGGAAGACGGAGGAGGAGTACCGGCATCAGCTGGGGAGCTACGGCATCTCCGGAGAGCTGGCCGTGCGTCCCGTGGCCAGCCTGTCCGGAGGGCAGAAGAGTCGGGTGGCCTTTGCCCAGATGACCATGCCCTGGTAATGTTCTCCCAAATGCTGTTAATTTTTGCATGGTTTCATCCCTGGAGCTTGCTTCACCAGGAGGAAGGCAGGCATCCAGGGACCCTCTGCTGCCCCAGAGAAGCCTTTGCCTTGGGGGTTTTTATGGAGAGGGAGGTTACCCTGGGGAGACTGTGTGGAAGGAGACAGGTGGTTTTCTCCCACTGCTTTGGGTTCACGGGGATAAGAGGTGTCCCTGGAACCGGGCAGTGCCAATCCTGGGGCCAGCCACATGCCAATGGCTCTAAGCAGCTAAAGCAGCAGTCAGGGTGCAGACCCAGCCTGAGCCTGTCACTGCATCCTTAGAGCTATCTTCTCTTCCAGTCCAAACTTCTACATCCTGGATGAGCCAACAAATCACCTGGACATGGAGACCATTGAGGCGCTGGCAAAGGCACTGAATAAGTTCCGGGTAAGGAACATCTCTTGTTTTTCTAACACCTCTTGCAGCCTCCAGATCAAGTTACTTGGTATCTCAGCCACAGCTGGATGGTGAAATACTGGCAGTGACTTCAAGTCTAGGACAGAATTTGGGAAATTAGTCACATATCTGCCTTAGCCATCCATCCTGGTGGTTTGTTTACATGATGGCTTTGGCTAGGAGTGGCTGAGAGAGGCAGTACCACCCCAGGAGCACCTTGTCCCATCCTCACCTACACTCTGACTTCTCTCATGCTGTGTGCAGCTCCCAGCCTTGCCTTGGGGCCACTCAGATCTTCCTTAGGCACGTTTTATGCCCGACTGCCAAAGACTCAGCCTCCAGATACCACTGTGATCAACCTGGATCTCACTGGTTGTTGCTTAGGTTGGGGCAGTTTTCCTGTGACAGAAAAACTTAGTTGAGGCTGCTCAGGGCCCTACGCAGACACCACTGGTACTGACTTTGTGTGGATTCTCCATCCTTGAAGTTGTTGGACACCTGGAGAGCGAGTAACAAACCTTGCACTTGCTTTCTGAGGGAGGAGATTAAATATGTTACTACTGCACATGGCTCCTCCATAGGTGATCTGTCTGTCCCCCTGGAAGGAGGAAAGGCTGGGATGAGCTCCCTGCCAGTAAAATACTGTTCAATTTTCTCTGGAGCTGATGGAAACCTGAAGTGCTGGGCACAGGCTAGACAGAGGCACAAGATCTCCATGCCACCAGTCCTGGGCCCTGGGTTATGCTCCACTAAGTTCCCCATTTTCCCCCTTGTATATTGACAGGGTGGTGTAATCCTGGTGTCCCATGATGAACGCTTCATCCGCCTGGTGTGCCAGGAGCTGTGGGTGTGTGAGAACGCCACCGTCACACGCATCGAGGGTGGCTTTGACCAGTACAGAGACATCCTGAAGGAGCAGTTCCGGAAGGAGGGTTTCCTATAAGGGAGGTGGGAGCCGGACTGCGCCAGGGGCTGGAGGGCAAAGCTCAGCCACCTTGGCTTCCATCCCAACTGTGCCTGGCAGAGCGCCGAGGACGCTGCTGCCCACACGGACCGTCAGCCATGCCATCAAACTGCCACCTGAACTGCTCTCCCCTCCCGGGGCCGGGTGGAAGGACAGCGCGGGAGCAGGAGCCTGCTGTGCGTGGCCAGGGGCACGCCTGGGGCTCTGTCACTGGCCAGGGCTGTGCCTGGCACCGGGCACGCTGGAAGGCTGTGCCTGGAGCTGCTGCTGTGCCAAGAGGAGGGAAGGCAAAGCATCCTGACCCTTGGTTTAACTCCGTGCTCTGCAGGGCAGAAGAGCTGTTCTCCGTGTTTCTTTGCTTCACCCTCTGCCTTTTTCTTTCTTTGTTTTCCTGAGCACTAGTCTGGCTCCATCACATGCCACTGTCCTCCCTGCTGCCTTGGAGGGAAACGAGGCATTTGCTGCTAAAAGTGACCCCTGCCTCTTCCCCGGTCCCCGATGCTGGGGCTTGCTTACGTCTGTAGTGCCAAGGGAGCCAGAGCCCGGTTCTCCTGGGCGTGCTCCCTGCTCCTTTCCTTGTGCTGCTGCCAGTACTGCCTCGCTGCCTGCCTTGCCTTTGAGCCGGCTCGGGGGTGGACTGCCCTGGGGTGGGCTGCCCAGCATCCCTCCCTGCCCACCCACACAGAGGTTGTGGTGTAAATAAACCCAGGACGCAGTGGGTGCAATGCTCTCCTTTCCTTGGGGGGGCTGTGGGGCATGATTTTGGAGGGGAGCAGGGGATTGTCCTGCTGTTGCCTCAAGCACAAGGCTGGTGAGGGGGAGACGCTTTCCAGATGATTCCCTCTGAGTTAAATGGGAGCTCTGTGGTGCAGGTGAGGCTGGGACCTCCTGGATGGAGCATGCCAGTGTCCCACTGGGCAGTAGGAGGCCACTGGCCACCTTTCAGAGCATGGAGCTGGTGTGAGGCTGGGTTGGATGTCAGCCCGGAGGGTACCGGATCCTGTTGTGGTTTGCGGGGGAAATGGGCCCAAGGTGGGCAGGAGGAAGGGGACAGAGCTTTAAATTGTATTGAGCAGGGAATGGGGTTGTATTTCTGGGTGTCAAAAGAGGAACCAGGAAACATCAACATCTTAGGAAGCTACAGGGTAATACCCATAAATCATCTCAAAGGAATTATTAGGCAGGGCTCCACCCAAACGGCAAAAAGGCCCCCAGCTGGTGTGTTTCCACAGGAAAACATGCAGCAGGGGTAACAAGCAATAGGAGTTGGAAACCGTGGGGCAATTAAAACTCTGTAACATAATTGCTGTCGAAAAAAGAGATGCGCCACATAACTGGAACACTGCAGTGGGGGGCTACGAGATTTCAGGAGAGAGGCTGGGAAGGAGGGGCGGCGGTGTTGTATTTTCCTGAGGAAGGGACAGATAGTGAAGAGCTGCCTCTGAGTGACAGCCATGAGCAGGCTGAGAGCCTGTGGGTAAAAATCAAGAACAGGACCAGCAAAAGACAGCCTGTGCCTGATCAGGGGTCTGCTGATACAGCTGCCTTGCTTCAGGTATGTTGGCAAACTCCATATGTCTTTGAGTCCGACATCCAAGTTATTAATGAAGATTTGAAGAGCATTGGCCTTAAAATTGAGCTCTGCAGAGCCCCACTAGTGACGGGTCACCAGTTTGATGTCATCCCATTCACTATAACCTGACCCACGAGCCTATGCTCACCCATTGCCGGAAATATTTATCCATTTGTGTGTTGGACATTCTGTCCAGAAGAATCCTGGAAGAGGCAGTATTGAAAGCTTTACTGTACTCCAGATTTCTGTATCAAGGCTTCCCTTGTCCTTAAAGAAAGTTTAGTTTCTCAAGCAGAACTTTCCCCTCATGAACTTGTGCTGGCTGTGACAGATGCCTGTGTTGTCCTTCAGGTATTGTTCCATAACTCTCAGAATAATCTTCTCCATAATTTTACCAGGCACTGAAATGTGACTGACAGGCCTATAGTGCCCAGAATCATGCCTCTAGCCCTTTCAGGGAAAATGTTTGCCAGTTTCCAATCAAATGGGATCTCTTCAGATTCCCGTGGCCCTTCAAAAATCATTTGAGAGAGGTCTCATGATGACAGCTCTTTTGAGTACTCTTGTATGAATTTTGTAAGGGCCCATACAGCATCCATATAAAAGTATTCAGCTGGAACGGCAGATCCTGCACAAGTCTAGGATTGACTGCGAGTTAATCATTCTCACAGCCGTGGTCCTCCAGCTCAGGGACCCCTAGAGCCCATCACTGGTGTTGAAAGTTGAAGTGAGGAAGACATTAAACATCTTTGCCTTGTCTATGTACCCGCTTGTGGGGTGCCCATCCTCATCTAGTTACGAGAAAATGTGAATTCTGGGGTGGCTTTTACTGTTGACATATTTTAAAGAGAGGGAGTGACTTTTTACACGGGCGGATAGGGATGAGAGAAGGGGGGATGGCTTTAAAGTGAAAGAGGAGACAACTTTGGATACTAGGATGAAATTCTTCCCTGGGAGTGTGTAGAGGCAGTGGCCCAGGTTGGCCGGAGCAGCCCGGAGCTGTCCCGGGCCGTGTCGCACGGAGCAGCCCGGTGGGGTGGGGTGGGTTCCGCCCGGCCCCGGCGCGCGGGGACCGTTCGAGCGCGGTGTTCCCCCGAGCCCCAACATTCCATGAGCCGCGGCCCCGCGCGGCGGTGGGCGGTGCCGCGGCGTTGCCGTTGGCGGCGGCGGCGGGTCCGGGCGAGTCCAGCCCGGCTGCGCTCCCGCATTCGGTACCGGGAGGGGCGGACACTCACCGGCACCCCCCCGCACCGGGACGGCCGGCGCGAGGCCCCGCCCCCGCCTTCCCCGCCACCAGGTGGTCCCGCCCCTGCGGCCGGGGCGGCGCTCGAGCCTCGCTCCCACCGGCGGCGGGCACCGCACCGTACCGGGACTGCTACCGGCACCGGGACTGCTACCGGCACCGCCACCGCTACCGGCACCGCCACCGGCACCGGCATGAGCGCCGGCGGGCAGCCGGCGGAGCCCTGCCCCCGCGGCGGGCCGTGCTCGGCGGGGAGCAGCCCCGTGCCCAGCCCCGCGTCCCCGGCGCCCGAGGAGGTGAGCGGGGCGGTGGGGAGCGGATCGTGGCGGGGGGCGGCTGCGTGCTGCGCTCCGGGGCTGCGGGGCTGCCCTCGGGAGCGGGGGGATCGGCTGTGTGTGCGCGGATGGGGGTGGGCTCGTGTGGCTGTGTGTGTGCGGGGGGGTGCCCCCTGTGTGTGTGCGGGGGGGAGTCCCTTCTGTGTGTGTGTGTGTGTGCCGGGGGGGGTCCCCTCTGTGTGCGTGTGAAAGGGGGAGGGGGTCCCCCGTGTGTCTGTGTGTCCGGGCGGCTCCTCTCCCTGTGGCTGTGTGTGTGTACGGGGGGGTTCACTCTGTGCGTGTGTGTGCAGGGAGGGGGTGCCCTCTGTGTGGCTGTGTGTACGGGGGGGTTCCTTCGGTGTGGCTGTACGGGGGGGTCCCCTCTGTGTGGCCATGTGTGTGCGGGGGGGGCCGTGGGTCCTTCCGTGTGTGTCTGTGTGTGCTGGGGGGCTCGTGTGCCGCGGAGGGCCTCGTGGGGAGCGCTGCGAGCGGGGGGTGGCGGTGCTGGAGGGGGAAGCTCGGTGCGGAGGGCCGGGGGGGCTCGGTGTGTGTGAGTGTCTGTATGCGCGCGGGGGGGCGGCTCCGTGTGTGCCCGCGGGGGCTGTGCGTGGGAGAGGAGCCCTCGGGGGGCGGCTGTGGGACCGGGCGGGGGATGCTGCCCGGGGGGGGCGGTGGCGGCACTCGGGGTCCCCGTGAGGGCGCCCGGGGTGGTCGGGTGGGCTGGGGGCTGCGGGGGTGCCGGGGTGCGCGTGTGAGTGAAGGGGAGCGGGGGTGCCGCGCACCGGCCCGGGGGCAGCGGGGGTCCCGTGCCGGCGCGGTTGCCGCGGGCGCGGGGGTGTCGGTTTGGGGGGCGGGATCCCCCCGGGCCGGTCGGCCGGGGCAGGACCGGCAGCGCGGCGCCATCTTGGGAGCCATCAGGTGCCCGGCGCGGGGACGGGCGGCGCGGGGGGCCGGCCCCGACACCCCTCCCGTCCCCGGCCGCCGCCGCGGGGAGCGCCGCGGCCCGGCCCCGGCTCCCCTCGCTCGGCCGCGGGGTGCGGGGCCGCCCCGCTGGGGCGCCGGTGCAGCCGGCGGAGCCCGGCCCTCCCACCGCTCCCCCCGCGGGACCGAGCCCCGAGCGCGCCGGGCGCTGCCCCGGGAGCGTCCCCCATCCCGGGGTGCCCGCTCGTGGGCGGACAGGCCGGCACCGGGCCCCCGAGCCGCCGGTTCGGGCTCCGGCAGCGGCTGCCCGGCTCCGGGTGTCCCGGCATGTCGTCACGGTGTCGTCGCGTGTGTCCGGCCCTCCCCGCCCAGCCCCGCCGCCACCCGCCCGGGACTGGGTTTAAAGGGAAGGGCTGCATTTGTCTGGGCAGATGATGAGGAGTTACGGGAAGGATGGGTGTTTGGGTGACCTTGATATTCTGTGCTTGTTAAACTGCCGGGTGGTCCAGGGCTGCCGCCGGAGCCGGCTGTGATATCGGCTTGGCTGGGGTATCCCAGGAGTTTAATCCACTCGTGGTGTTTGTTGCAGCCGCTTCAGAAACGGCGGAGAACTGTGGAGGATTTCAACCAGTTCTGCACCTTCGTTCTGGCCTATGCAGGCTACATCCCGTACCCTGAAGAGGTAAGTGGATTTGCACAGTCTTCCTCTACAAAGACACTGGTTCTCCTGGTCTCCCTGCCATGTGCAGACTCAGCTCCTAATCTTTGAGAATCATGGATTGGTTTGGCTTGGAAGGGACCTTAGAGATTATCTAGTGTCAACTCCCCTGCCACGGGCAGGGGTACCACCCACTAACTAGATCAGGTTGTTCAGGGCCCATCCTGTCTGGCCTTGAAATTTGGGTAGACACTGCTGGAGAGTCGTTCTTTCCTTACCCCAAATACTTGAGCTCTGGTCTCCCTTGCTAATCCTTCATCTTCTCCTCTTGCCACTAGTATGTGCCCTGGACCCATGGAGGCAGCATGAGCCCCCAGAACAGCACGGGGAGCACTCAGGACAGCGATAGCTCAACCTCATCTCACTCCTCTGATGGCCACATCCCCATGGACAATAGGAAGAGCAGGAATGCTGTGGCCAGGGGGGCTGTGGGCAGTGGCCTGCTAATGAGCAGCCCTGCCTTTTCCACTGCCTTCTACAACATCCGGCCCCAGCAAATCAAACGGAAGAAACCACCAGCAAAGAAACGCATTTTGGAGCAGGAGGTGAAGAAGAGGGTGCCGCTGAGTGCTTGGAAAGACTTTGGGGCAGAGCAGGATGGAGTGAAGCAGCTGGCTGCACTGGCAGGACAGCTGTCCCCTGTGAAAGAGGAGCTACTGGAGCCTTCCCTCAACCCACCTGGGGACCCCCAGCCCAATTCCCTCCTGGAGGAGCCAGTGATGGAGAAGGACTTGATGTACAGAGCACAGGGAACTGAGAAGCCAGCAGATGATCCTCAGCTTAAGGAGCACGACCCCTTCTCTGCAGAGAGGAAAAGCCCTAGTCCCTGTAATACCTTGGACCAAAGCACAGGGGAAGATACAAGCAGAGAGACCTCCCAGCTCAGTGGTAAGTGTCTGGGGACTGCAGAGGGCCCTGTTGTGCTGGAGCAGTGCCAAACATTGTCCCTTCCTCAGCTGGAGCCAGCCTTGCTGGCCACAGGGAGGGCCTGTCCATAGCCCAGGCTCCTCCCAACAAGAGGAATACTTTTGGGACTTGGGGGACTGAAGAGCAGAGGGCAGGAAGCTGACCAGCCCTTTGGTAGCTCTGTTCTGCAGAGCAAGTGGTGCAGACCTGAAACAGGTCTGAAGTGGGGTGTAGGGCTGCCTTACTCGTCTGGTTTTGATTTTTTTTTTCTTTTTCCCCCTTTTGCAACTTTAGCAGTCGAATTCGCAGAAGTTCCCAACACCAAAGCAGAAGGTGAGTGGGGGGCTGTCCCACTGAACAGCAGTAGACCTGGCTGGTCTGGCCACAAGCAGACCTGCAGCTGGTAAGGTGGTGTCTGAGCGCTGTCTCTCTCTCTCTCCCTGAGCAGATGACGATGCCTGGGATCTGATCACTTGCTTCTGCATGAAGCCCTTCGCAGGGAGGCCCATGATCGAATGTAACGAATGCGCCACCTGGATCCACCTCTCTTGTGCCAAGATCCGCAAATCCAACGTGCCTGACATTTTCATCTGCCAGCGGTGCCGGGACGCCAAGCAGGAGATTCGCCGCTCCAACCGCGCTCGGACAGTGCCCCGCAAGCGCCTCGTTGACTGATGCTCCTGCGGAGCAGGAAGGCCAGGGGTCCCTTTTTAACCTGAAGACTTAGACAATCAATGCACTGGCAGGGGAGGGGCTGGGACACAAGGCTGGACTGTCCCCTCACACCTCTGGCCCTTGAAAGCTGCCCTGCAACACGTGTTCTCCCCGAGGATCATATTGGCCATAGAGCTTGGTTATCCCAGAAGTGTGCAGGGGATAGGAGGGTGGTCCAGATGCTCATCCCTGTGGGTGGTGTGTTAGTGTTTGTGATCTCCTGGGGCCCCACATGCACTAACTGTTGGATCCCACCTCCTCCTCACAGCCCCTCCAAAGAGCCCTGCCCATGTGCCTTCTGCACTTTCCCTGGGGGATGCAGGCCCCGCTCCTGTCCTGGTGACACTCAGCTCAGCCCCTACCTGCCAGTCCCCATGACTATAATTCTTAACTGGGTTCTTTCCTACTTGCACATCTGGTTACTGTGGGACCACAGCTGGGGGCAGGGTGTGGGACAGCCCCCTGTCACACAGCAGCCCCCAGGCTTGTCCCTGTGCCTCTCTCCTCCTGTGGAAAGCCTGGGCCCCAAAAGTGCTTTATGTTTTTATAGTTAATTTGTATTATAGTTAATTTGTATTATAGTTACTTTGTATTATAGTTTATTTGTATTATAGCGAATTCTGGTCCTTGCCCTGTGGAGTGTGACTGGAGTCTTATGTATATAATAAATACTTTTGCCATAACAGTGGTGGCTTTGGCAAAGGTCAGTGACCTTGATTCTCATGTCCTCTGAGGACCCAAGTGCTCCCCTGCTTCCCTTCTGCTGTGGCCGGGAGGGGACCTGGTGTAGGGACACCTCTCAGCCCTGCTACTCCCCCAGGTAAATCCCAAGTCGCAAAAACAACAGGAGACAAGCAGACCAGTGCATTATATTTAATTTGGCAATGACCACCTCCTCACACTGCTGCAGTTTACAGGAATGCTCCATGGGTAGGTCCTCAGGAGGTGCATGGCCTGGGGGACAACCTCTTCAGTGGGAATCATGTTCCAGAGCCTGCTGCCATCTGACGGGGAATGTCACGGGTTATTCCGCAGAATCAACAGGTCCGATGGCTCAGGGAGGAAGGGTGTCCATGTGCCTTTGCTCTGATGCTTAAGGCACATCACTGGCTCAAAAAAAGAGTTTTGCTCTTGGGCTCTGACAAACCTTCCTTGTCTCTGTCTCCACTCTGGAGTGCAGTTAGAAATTAGTCCCGACAGCAACTGAGGTGCCAAAGGTTCCAGTTTTCTTCACAAAATAAGCCTCTAATTCCAACACAGAGATGTCATTGGTTTCATTTGCAGATCCAGATGTGTGCCAGCTTCCATCAGGCATGCTGTTAGGACAGGTGGGGGATGCAGTGAGGGTGACAGGACAAGAAGGCTCTGGGGTCTGAGTGCTGACCTGTCTGGGGCAGTAAGAAGGCACTTTTTTTGGGCACCCTTACAAAGCAGGGTCCTGCTGGTACAACTTTTCAGCTCCAAGGCTGTGAACGGTTCAGGAACAGCAACTAACCTAGGTCTAACTTCTATGCTAGGGAACAAAGCTGGAATTATGCAGCCAAACAAGTATCCAGTCGAGGCAGGCAGGCAGTGGTCTATTCCTCTTTGGCCCAGACAGAGCTGCCTGCCTGCTGCGCCAGGTGGGGAATCACTGCCTCTGTGTAAAACTTCTCCAGCTTGGGCACAGTCTTCCTCCAGAACTCCCTGTCAAACTCCACGGGGACCACAGCAGTCTCCTTGTTGGTGTGCACCACGAAGTCGGCCCGCTGCAAGCCAGTGGTTCCCAGTTGGCACTGGACCTGGGTAAAGTAGGGATGATTCTTCTTCAGGGCATAGGAATCCCCATCCACCTCCAGGCAGAAGTCCTTGTCCTTGCAGGCCTCACGCACCGTCCTGTTCCTGTGCTTGTAGGGACATTTCACCTCCAGCAGCCCCAGGTCCTTCCCTGTGGCTGGATCCTTGATGATCCCATCTGGGCTGGCAGCAAGCCAGTTCTTCTCTGGGTGAATGAAGAGGCCACAATCCTCCACGTGCACTGGTTTGCCTCCCTTCTGTAACTTCTGCTTGTAGGCCTCCACAGCCACCTTCTCATTGCGGATCCCCCAGGACATGGCTGGGGTCTGCACCTTGGAGCCAGAACTCACCACTTCTTTTAGGTAGGACTTGGGCACCTCATCTGTCTTGCTGTTGGCAAACCTGCTGTTGGCAATTTTGGGGGCCACGGAGGCAGTGATGCGGTTCTCCCGCCACTCGTACCACTTGGGGTTCTCCCGCTGGCCCCGGGTCTCCTTCTCCACCTTCAGGATGTCCTTGCTCTTTACAGGAGGCAGGAACTGGTCGCAGGCCTTGCTCAGGTCAGCCCCAGGCTGCTTCTTCTGTGGGTACAGGTCAGTTCTGGCAGGACCAGCGGCTCCCTTGGCATCAGGTGCCTTCTGGGTTGTAGAACTCCTGCTGGGTGCTCTGCTCTTGTCCCCAGCATCTCCTCGGGCTCCGCGGGATGCTGTGGATCTCGGCTGAGCAGAGTCTGCCCTTGTCCCCCGTGCCTGCGTGGGGGTGGTAGCCTTGGCAGCCGAAGTGCTTCGGGACTGGCTCCCTGCAGCTGTGGCCTTAGCCCGGGCGGCTGAAGTGGAAGGCGGCGGCGCAGCGGGAGCAGTTTTGGAGGCGGTTGTGGCTGGTCGGGGGGATGATGTGCCAGCAGACTCCTTCCTGGGTCTCCCCATTGCTACAAGTCAGAGGATCTTACACTGTGGACATGGAATGAAGTTTAATTCAGACCTTCACAACACTTATTTCCCCTTTCTTGCCCCTCCCTGCGCCTGCTCCAGGGCACACCGTGTCCCTGCCAGAACTGCTACTTCCACACCTTCCCTCGGCTCACGTGGCACCGTGGGATGGCAGCTGGCCCGGATGGGGTGCTTGTTCTACCCCCCTTCCCCGCATCCCAGCCCGGGCCACCCCGAGGATAGGGCGGGGGCACAGCGGCCCCCGGGAGCCGCCTCCGCCGGGAACCGGAGACCAGGCGCGTATCCCCCGGGCCCGTCCGCCCGGCCGGCGGCGGTGCCGGGCAGGGGTGGGGCGGGAACCCCCAGGAGCACCGGGGGGATCCGGGACCGAGGCGCGGAGCTGCCCCGCACGGCGCCGCCGCTCTCACCGCTCCGCCGCCGCCGCCGCCGCTCCGGAAGCGCGTCCCGCCCGCACCACGTGCGCGGGGGCGGCGGCGGCTGCGGGAGGGACGGAGGGAGGGAAGGAGGGAAGGAGGGACGGATGGAAGGAGGTGCGGGGCCGGGCGCAGCCGCCGGCCAAGCCCCCGGTCCCCGCTAGAGGGAAGCAGCCGCCCGGCCGTTCGTGCCGCGGGTCCCGCCCGGGCATGCCCGCTCCTCTCCGGCCCGACATCCCTCTGCCTTCCCCCGCATCACGCCGCCCCCGACACCCCCGAACATTTTACACCGGGCTGCTGACAAACCCCGCGTACCCCGCCCGTGGGCAGAGGGCTGAGCCTCTCAAGCTCCGCTGTGAAGGGACAGGCTGACCTGACGGGACCCCGATGGCACAAGCTGGTCCGAACCTCCGCGTCCCACCGCGAGCAGACGTTCGGGAGAAGGGCGAGGAGCCGGAGCGGCGGTACCACCGGAGCGGCCGCCGTGCTCCGCCGCCGTGTGAGCGATGGCACAGCCCCACCTCCGAGCCCCGCCGAGGGCTCGGCCCCCCTGCAGGAAGTTCACTCACTGGCACGGGAGTTTCGGGTTCCTCAAATCCGGGCAGTTTCGCTTTCTCCGGGACGGCTGTTGGGACATCCCCCACGGGCCCGCCCCACGGCTGGGAGCCCCTGTTGTTTTCGCCCGCCGAAAGCAAATCCAGCGGCCACCAGAGTGTGGCCTGGGTCTGTGTCAGTGGCAGCCCCTCCATCTACCTCCAGCATCCCGGGAAGATTTCAGTTAGGCAGGCTAAGTGCTGGCAGCATTCCGAGTCCCTCTCCCCAAGGATCCCAGGTGTCTCCACCAGCCATCTCTATCTCTGTTGATGTGTTGTTTCATTCCCTCCCTCCAGGCCCTCTGTAACTCCCCACAGCTGGGCAGATCAATATTATACAGGTTAAGCCTAAGTGTGCCTGATTTTGACCAGAAACACCACTGGCACCTTCCTCCTCCATGGCTATCCATCCTCAGGATTTGGTTTAGTTCTTCTTTATTATGGAGCAGCTAACAGGATGCCCGTGCCCCTCTCCCTGCAGGCAAGCCTGTGCAGTCTTCAGCGGGGTCTGAGGAGCTGCAGCTGCACTGAGCACAGTTCCTGCCAGCCTGGGGTTTGGGTTATTTCCCAAAATAACTCAGCTCACACTAAATTCACAGGGCTTGTCAGCTGCTCAGGACCTGAGAGCATCTGTAAAATCTCTGTGGTTTGTGCCCCCTCCAACAAGCCCTATCAATGGGTGATAATTCAGCTCCAGGAAGAGGTGATTTGGGGATAAATACCCAGATCCTGATTGGTCCCTTGGGTTGTGCTGCAGCTGCTGGTGAGGTGTTACTGAGGCTGAGGATGCTGAATGGAGTCATGGGTTGAGCTGGGCCTCTATTTGCAGATTTTAACACGTTTTATCTCAGCACTCTGCTGAAGAGCAATGCCAAGCTCTCCAGGTCTATTTGTGTCAGTGATGAACTGCTGCAGGGAAGCTGTGACAGTGCAGAGCAGGGACACAAACACCAGATTGGGATGGAGCCCTTCTGTGTCTCCTGCTGAAGTTGCCAGCACGCTGGGGAGACTCAGCTGTGTCCCCAGTGCTGCACGGGCGTTGTTCCTCACCCGCTGTCACACCGGGGCCACGTCTGACGCTGTGGGCTGGCCAAGCTCCATCACCCGCCTGGTGGCACTGAACCAGTGCTCGCATTTGGATGCTTTTCTTTGCCTCAGCTTGGCCTAGAAATGATATCTCAGAGAAAAATCAAAGCTTGTGGTTTTTGTTTTTTTTTTTTTCTGGGGCTGGAGTGGCTCTGGCCCTTGCTGTGATGAAGGGAGCAGGAGTCCCATGCACGTCGCAGGCTGTGTGGATGTGTTGTGGTGTGTGCAGGGCCTCCAGCAGCTCCCAGAGCTGGTGGCTGTCACGGGGGGATAACACATGGATTAGCATCCTTCTCCTGTGGTTGTAAAGGAGAGGGAAGGGGAGCAGCTGCACACTTCAGCTCTCCTCTCTGCACCGGGAGGGGAAGTGATATACCATGGGGCATCTCACATGGGGGAGGGAATGGCTCAGAGTGCTCTAGCAAAGGCCCTAGGGATGCACAGAGTGCCTCTTGGCCAGATAATTGTTGACTAAAGCTCAGGGTGAGGGGTCAGGAAGGAGGAGTGTGTCTCACACTATCATGTGCAGCCAAGGGCATCTTGCACCGAGGTTTCCCTCTGTTGCTCCTGCTGTCACCTGTGAAACCCGTGTCAGGGAGCTGAAGCTGCAGTGGCATATGGGTCAGCTCAGAGGTGAGATCTAAAAATACCTGCTGAGGGCTGGGGACTGCTCCCCTTGTGGTGCTGCTGGATTTTTCTGCCCCAGTTTGTGCCTGGACTGGCTCCAGGTTCGGTGTGGCTGTGGCGGTGGGTTCTGTGGTGCAGGGGTGGGGGGGACTCCTCTCTGTGTGCTCTATTTAAAGAGCTGCAGCAGCACACTCCTATCTATAGCACAAGGAGTTGCCTGGGAAAGGCAGGGCAGGGA